ACTTTAGAATTATATTCTACACTAGATACTCCTTGTAGCTGTGTTTAGTGATGACCATAGCATGATACTTATTTGATACAATTGTCAATTAATTTGATGGATAAAGGCTTAATCTTGATGGGTTGTTCTACAAATTAGCTTACTTGTCATTAGTTAATTGTAGTAAAGTAAGCAATTTGTGCTTGATTATGTTAATCCATACTTCTAATTACAATTAGTATTACCTTTTTTATTGATGTGTGCTCTCATTGGATATATTTGTGAATGTGTATGGTGGGTTATGACGTAATCTTGAATGGGTTCTACACTTTAGTTTAGTTGTCATTAGGTAGACAATTCGTTCTTGATGTTGATAATCTATGCTTACAATTGTGATTTGTGATGATAATGTAACCACATCTATGATTACACTAATGATTTCCCCATGAATTGAAAGCAAATAGTTAATTGCATGGGCTTAGTGGTGAATCATAACCCTAAGACTCTCTTCATATCTCTTTAATTCTTAGTTTAATTTAATTTAATTTACTTGCATTGTCATTTCTATTTCCATGCTTTCGATTTAACTCTAGTTTAATCACTTCACCAAAAATCTTTTTCTCTCTCTCTCTGTCTCTTGTGCAATCTCATTAGCACGAAAATCAAGTTTAATCCCAACACGTGTTCAATCTCTTGGGTTCGATCCTTTTCGCTTCATACTACATAGTATAAGTGTTTAGCGGTTTATAAATTATAAAATATGATACCCACTTGACATTAATTCTAAACCTAAAGTGTTGTGCATTATTTTGTGCACACGCTCGGGTCGCATCATAATTTTGGCGCCATTACCGGGGATTGACGGTTTAGTTGGAATTAAATTAGTCATTAGGGCTAATTTGATAGTTTTCTTTAAATTACTATTTTCTTACAAATCCCTCTTGTTCAATTAGGTACTTGAAAAGAAGAAGAGCAAGCATTAGATCTTGGCACCATTGTGACGTTGTTGCTACAGACTTTCGTGAGCTTCCTTGAATTTCTGTTACTATAATTGTTCAATTCTCTACATGCTTGCGAGATAGCCCTTGTCGAGGCTATCACATTGTTTAAATTCTTGTCCAAGCATAAGCCCAAAAAGAGGCTATTACTTTCTTGATAGAAAGCATCGGCCCGTGTGGAGGCAATTTAATTTTGTGCATTAATATAACATGAGAGTATGGGAACATCGTATGTGGAGGTGGTGAATTGTTGTTAATTGTTGTTGTGGTCTAATCTTGAATCATCAATTTTTTTTCTTGATTATCCCACACTTAATAGAAAACCAATTCTAAGATCTAAAGCATATGGATAATCTAGGTGAGTATCACCCTCTTAATGGGCATCCACCTCAAGGTGTGCATCCACCCTTGAGAATTCCCCATCCTAATGTGTTTCCACAACCCAATCATATGCAACAACCTCCAATAATACAAATCCATCCTCAAGATCATGTAGTGTATCCCCCAAATCCTCACTTATCTCTTCGGGATCACTACACTCCAAATGAATACAATGCACCAACATGCATCAGGTTGCCAAACTTTCGGGCAACCCATTATGAAATCAAGCCCGCAACCATCCAAATGTGCCCCACTTTCTATGGGGTGAGCAATGAAAAACCACATAAACATTTGGATGAGTTTTTGGAAGTTTGTTCAACCGTGAAATTTACGGACCTTCCAGAAGAAGTCTTAAAAATGAAGCTTTTCCCTTTCACTCTTCGGGAAAAGGCTAAATATTGGTTCAACAACTTGAGGGCGAATTCAATCATATCTTAGGCTCAATTACAATATGAATTCCTAAAAAAATTTTACCCCCCAAGTAGAACCGATGCTATGAGAACTTCTATCCGTGAATTCTCCCAAAATGAGGGAGAACCTTTACATGAAGCATGGGAGCTTTGAACAATTTGCTATGGAAGTGTCCACATCACGACATTCCTAAGTGGCAATTAGTTCGCTGCTTCTATGAAAGCTTATCCGATACCAAAAAAGGTATGGTTGATGCTTCATGTGGAGGAGCCTATTTGGACAAAAATGAAGATGATGTGTGGCATCTTTTTTATCGCATGAGCGAAAATTCAATGCATCATTCTTCATTGTCCCGATTTGGCCAAAATTTGAATGAAAGAGGGAAAAAAACCTCAAGTCTTTCTCAAGTGGAGAGTTCCATGGAAATTGCCACCAAAGTCAAAAATCTTACTCGCAGGTTTGATAAATTTCTTTCGAGCCAAAACCCGACAATTCAATCATCCAACTCTTTCCATTCTCAAAGTGTGATGTGCATGACTTGCTCTAGTTATACTCACAATACTTTCAATTGTCCTCTTGGATAAGTTTTTCCCAGTAAGTATCAAGAACAAGTCAATGCTATTTTCATTCATCCGAGAAGTAATTCAAATTCTAACTCCTACAATTCCAGATGGAGTGATCCTCATTTCTCTTGGAGAAATCAAGGAGAAGGTATCATTCCTCCTCTTCATAAAAATTCTCAAGTAAAGTATGTACCTCCCCACCTCCGAATTGCAAAGTCTCAAGCATACCACTCTCCATCTTATCCTCCTCCAAATGTGAATCAACTCTCCAATTCTCAATCTTCAAATCATCAAGCTTATTCTCATCCACCTCAAGAGCCTCCTAGGAATCCCACTTTTGAGGATAAGGTTTTAGAAGCTTTGGGTGATCTTCGAAAGGAAAATCAAGTGTTTCATTCGCATTCTCAATCAATTGTAAAACTTGAAGCCCAAATTGGACAAATGGTTCAAACAATGAAAGGGAAAAGGCCTATTCAACCCAAACTTAACCAAAACGCATACTCCATTTCCACCTTGAGGACTAGAAGAAAAATTGATAACAAAGTTGAGAGACCTAGTGAAGTTAGTGTTCCGGTGCAACCAAGTGTTAGCCCATTTACCATTCCCAATTCCATTCCTACTTCACTAGGGATAAGTGGTCACATTAAGGAGCCAATTCCATCATCATCATCTTCCTCCCATGTAGTGAAGCCGTATGAGCCAAAAACTCCATTTCCTCAAGATTTAAACTCTACTCCATTTTCGAGGCAAGAAGGAAAAATTCATGACATGATGGAAGTTTTTAAACAAGTTAAAATCAACCATCCTCTTCTTGATGCTATTCAACAAATTTCACTATATGCCAAGTTCTTGAAGGACTTGTGTACTTAAAAGAGAAAGAACAAGAGACCAAGCCCAAAGAAAGTGCTTCTCACGGAGCAAGTGAGCTCTATCATTAAGCTTAACACCCCACCTAAGTTCAAAGACCTCGGCGAGCCAACCATCTCTTGTACCATAAGGAACCATGAGGTCAAAAGGGCTCTTCTTGACTTAGGGGCTAGTGTTAACGTTATTCCTTACTCCATGTACCTTCAATTAGGTTTGGGAAACCTTAAGCCAACTTCGGTAGTTATTTAACTTGCCGATAGGTCTACAAAACAACCAAGGGGAATTGTTGAAGACGTCCTTATCAAAGTTGACAAATTCTATTTCCCGGTTGATTTTGTTGTGCTTGACACTAAGCCGGTTCCCAATCCTACCACTTACATTCCAAAAATCTTAGGAAGACCATTCCTTGCCACTGCTAATGTGACAATCAATTGTAGGTCCGGCATTATGGACATATCTTTTGGTAATATGATGGTTAAGCTTAATGTGTTCAACACGAGCCAACATCCTCTCAATGAAGGCGAGTGTTTCATGGTGAATGTCTTAGATGAAATTGTTGAAGAAGCTATTCCTTCCATTCATTCTATTCTTTCTGAGATCCTCTTGAGGCATGCCTCTCTCACTTCAATATGGATGCATTTGACATTGAAAGCTCCATATATGAAGTGAATTCTCTAATGGACTCCGTGGCCATCTTAGACTTCCCGCCATGGAAAAACTCAAAAGAACCTCTTCCTCTAGTTGCAAGTACTCTTTTGAATCAAGAAAAGAAAGAAGTTATAAGTTCGTTAATGGCCAATCCAATTTATGAGGACATTCCTTGTAATATTGAGCATGAGGTCATTCAGGCGACCTTAGTGAATGAAGAGAAAATGATCAATGTGGAAGTTGACAAAAATGATGAAGAGATTGAGTTTCCTAATAATCCAACCGAGTCTTTGAAAGATATTACCTTGGCAAGTGCAAGGCCGCTCATTATGGACTTTATTTTCAAGACCGTGGATGAAAGAAAACAAATTACATCTTCCATTATTTCTTTCCAAATCATCCTTTTGGGAGATGTATTCATTGTTGTGAGAGAAGACCCATTGGGAAAAATAGATAAACGGATCAATGAGGATGTCTCATATCCGATTTTTGATTCTTTCGACTAGTGAGTTGCCACAACGTCTTTCTAGCGACGTTAAACACTAGTTGTTTCGAGTTTCTCCTTCATTACATGTTAATTTACATTTTATTATTATTTTATTTTATTTTAATTTTTTTTCTTTTTTTCTTTTTCCTTTTGTGCATTTATGCATTTTTAAATTCAAAAAGAAAAATAAATAAATAAATAAATAACAAAATTAAAAAAATTGTAATGGATAATGTAGGTTTTTATTTTATTTTATTTTCATTTTTATTATTATTTATTTATTATTATTATTATTATTATTATTATTATTATTATTATTATTATATATTTCATTTTTATTTTGTTTTATTCAAAAACATAAAAAATTAAAAAAATTAAAAAAAAAAATAGTCCTAGTTTGTATAGGTTGTTTTGTGATTTTATTTCAATTTTATTTTTTATTATTTTTTTATTTTATCTATATATTATTTTAGTGTATATATTCTTTTCAGTTTTATTGTTTTTTTAAAAAATAATAATAAAAAAATTAAAAAATTAAAAACAAAAACATTGGGTTGATCCTACAATGGGAGATCAATCCATGCTTTTGACAGTGAACAACAAAAAAAAAAAAAAAATAAACCAAGTGGATGGGAATCAATCCCCACAACTTTCTCACATTACACAGTGAGGGGGAACTTTTTTTTTTTTTTTGTATAAAATTGTCGATCCTTGCTTAGGGGTGATCGAACCCCTTAACCTTGCCCTTACCATCTCTCTCTCTCGCCTCCATTCACTGCCCAACCCTCAAACCTCTTCACCCAAATCCAAACTCCCAAGTTCTTAGACCGTCCCTCTCTGTTCGCTCTTCTCTTCCGCGGTGTTGAATTGGGCGTCAATTTCACAGTTCACCCTTTGCTTCGCCCATCTTTGGCTGAGTTGGGTGCGATTGGGGAAGTGGAGTTCAGATCGCGGCTGTTTCTCTTCCGGCGTCGCATTTGGGTCGCTGTTTTTCTCCGGCGATTAAGATAGGGTCATTCTTCTCCGGCCACGGTTAAACAGCGGCGCCGTTTTAAAACGCTATAAAGGCCGCCGTTTGATTCGCCCTTTTCTTTTTCCGATGTCGCGGGTACTGTCTTCTCCAGCCGTGATTCGCAGCGCCGACGGTTTCTGGGTAGCAGGTCCTTCCGGCCGTGCTTGAATCAGTCCGATTCCGGCTTGGTCCTCTCCGGCGAGTTTGTAGGTCTGAACAAAGAAATAAAAACTAAAAAGAAGAAAAAAAAACAGTCGCATCTTGGTCTTGCCGGCGCCATGGACTGAGTTCTTCTCCGCCGATGGTTTGAGTTCGCCGTTTGCTTCGCCTTTTATTTTCCGACGCGGCTGGTACTTCAACAGCGCTGCGACTGGGCTCTTTCCGGCGATTCCGGCTGGGCTTAAATTCCGGCGCCGTTTGAGACTCGCCCTTTATTTTTCCGGCGTTGCAACTGGCTGTTCCCTCCAGAGATTTTGGCTGGATTTTGATTTGGTTTCTTCAGCGATTCCGGCGGCTTTTGACTGGGCTTTTCTCCGGCGAGTATGTGGGTAAGTGCTGATTTTTTGTGATTTTGGCAAGTTTGTGAGTTGTTAATTGGGTTTCAGATTTCACTGTTTTAAAAAAAATTGCATTGATGTTTTGAAAAAAAAAAAAAAAAAACAGTTGAATTGTTGTTAAAAAAAAGTGCATAAAAATTTTGAATTGATGATTTAAAAAAAATTTGTCATTGGAGTAGGGTTATTGAATTTGGATTACTTCCCATACATTTCAATCTTTAAGAAATGACTCGTGTTTCTTCTTTCAAACGTCTCAAACCCTCCAAAGAAACTCCCAAAGCTGTGTAGCACAACAAACGTCTGGATTTTGAGACTACCTCCGACATTGAAGGTACGTTTCGCCACAATGACACGACTGAATGGGCGGTGTTAGAATTTGAAAGGAGGCGTTTGTCTTGCCTTTTTAGACCAGCTGCAGAGGTTGCATATCCCCGTATTGTGCGCCTGTTTTATCAGAATATGGAATGGTTTAGTGATGCGCCGGACATATTAGCTACAACCATTGATGGTGTCCGAATTTACTTTGGTGTCTTAGACATAGCCCAGGCATTGGGGTGTCCACATTTGTGCCCCACTGACTTACTAGCAGAGAATGGGGAGCTATGTTTTGGCAAATTCTCGAAAAAACCTACTGTGCATTCTATTGTTAAAGATATGTGTGACGGGAAGTATGGTGACAAGAAGAAGAAGAATTGTGCCAGCAAGTCCTCACTACCTAAGGATATGTGGTTTTTCAATCAGGTTCTGAAACGGAATGTTTTTCCAATAGGTCATAAGGTACAGCGGGGGCAAGAGTTCTTAATAGCGTTGTATGCTACCCACACTAGAGCATGGTTTTCTGTTCCAGCTTTCATCTTTAACCAGATGCATAAATATTGGAAGCATTTAGTGGCGAGTGGGGATCCGAATGCGAAAAAATGGAAACTTTCGTTTCCGTATCTTATTACCCAGTTCCTTGTCCTTCGGCGCTTTGTGGTTGATAATGATGATATCTTTGAGGCTCCATGGGTGACTTTTGGGCTAGCACAGTGGAACTTAAGCCTTTCTCATATGCCTAGTGCCAAGAAAGAAGGTGATGGCATGGTAGCAAGTGCTAGAGAGGACGTGAATGCCCTGGTTGAGGACGTCGTTGGGAGGTCTGAGGAGCAGATTGCTGATGGTGCTAGTTATGAGATAGCACAGGCTGTGTCACCACATGCAGAGGAGTCTGCAGGGGTGACTAGGGCAGAATTCAATGCCATTGTGGGGCAGTTGAGGACAGAGTTAGCTGAATCTCAAGAGCAGCGTCGAGTCGAGCATGCTGAGCTTATACAGCAGCACACCACTACCCAGCGCATACTACGAGATGTATATGAGATTGTTTCATCGAGTCTCCCACGCACTTCCACATTGCCACTTGATGCATGATTTTTTTTGTCTATTTTATGCTGTTCAGATTTTTCTATTTTAAGTGGATGGGATTTTATGTGGCTATAGCCAGATTTTTGTGATTTAGAGCTGGTTATTTTAGGAACCTGTAATTCTGGGTTTTGATGAAATATTTTGGTTTAATTCATCCATATATGTTTTGCATTGATGTTTTTGCTATAGATATATACATGGATGATTGTTTTTGGCTTTATTATTCATATTCATTTGAAAAAAAAAAAAAAAGACAAATTAAAAAATAATAATAAAAAAAAACAATAATAAATAAATAAAATAAAATAAATAAAAAATAAAAATTGCAAAGTATCATTCCGTCTTGCTAGAGACGTTAAACTTAGCCCATTTTTCTTATTTTTGTTTATTTATTTTATTTTGTTGGTTGTATATACATGTTTTTTTCCTTCGTTTCTTTTTTTTAAAAAAATGTGTTACCAGTATGCCCTTATGCTTGGTTATGACTGCTTTTATCTTTTATCAAGGGCATTCATCTCATATTTCTTTGCTTCTTATTATATATTGTTTTGAACTGTATGCATTGCTTATTCTATATGTATTTGATGTGAGTTTACTAGTATGGTTATACAGTTAGGTTTTTGCATTCAAGTTTGGGGGAGACAGCTTTCCTACTGGATCATTGCCGGACTTCATAGTCTTTGCCATCACGGTATACTCTTTCCATCATTTTTCATTGTTCTCATTGCACATTGAGGACAATATACAGTTTAAGTTTGGGGGTAAGGTCATCATGATTCACTCTATTTTAAGTTAAGCTTTAAATGCTTGATGAGATTTGAGATGTGTTTGGCAATAATTTCGAACTTTTGAAGCATAGTTTCTTTGAAAAACAAGTTGTTAGAGTCTAATACTTCTTGTATGCTCTAGGATGCCATTTAGGGGTAAATTTTTAATTTTTGATATCATGTTTGCTCTTGTGGTACACATCATCTTGTTGGTTGAAAATACTTTGAGAGTTGATTTTAGAATTCTACACTTGTACTTGCGCACACTAGCATTCAATTTGTGGGGTACATGCTTAATTGATTATTGTCTTGGTTTATCCCAATTGAGCTAGTATGCTTTGAAAGCTTTCATTCTTGATAAAATGACCTAGCAAAAAAAAAAAAAAAAACTGCGTTCTTTCAACATGTCAACTGATTAAAAAGGAAGATAAGGAAAGAATGTAAGATGTATGATTAGTTTGAGTTCGTAGCCTAGCCATTCCGAGTCATTACGTAGCCATTCCGAGTCATTACGTCTTTAGGAGTGTTTTTACACTTAACGCCCTAAGACCATCTGGTTTGGGATCGTTGGTTCAACGCTTGTTACATGGGGTGATTAAAGAGCTTAAGGAACTTGGACATTGCACATGGTCATAATGAAATCAATAAAATAAAATAAATAAATAAAAAGAATGTTTGATTGAATAACAAGGTTCATTCAATGTCTTGATGTCTAGTACTATATTTGTATGTTAGTTTGAGGGTAAGGCTATGCCATTACTTTGATTTGCTGATATAGCAACATATTTTGATGCCGGTTCACTCAAAAATAATGATAGAATTGATTCAATTTGCATGATTAACTTGTTTGATGTGTGGAGGACCATTTTTACTTACATGATATTGAAATGTTAAGAATAGCTTCGAAATGGCATAAATTTGCATACTTGAGGTAGTCTACTTTTAACACTTGTTTAATATGTGTCGTTGCTTCTCAAGTAAGAAAAAGCTATTGATGTTTGTGGGTACCATTTTTGGAAACCCTCACGAGACTTCACTCGTCCACTAGGGGTGACTTAGGAGTTTAAAAAACTTGTTGCATATGCTAAATGCAACCGTGATCCCTACAAAAGTGGTGTTATCTTTATTTGTTTTATTAGTTCATAGTTGTATATATGTTTGTTTCATTTCTATGCTTTAGTTCATTGTTAGGGACTAGCAATATCTAAGTTAAGTTTGGGGGCGTGATAAGTGCTTAAATGTTGCACATTTCAGCACCTAAGTTAGGGTATTTCAATCTTTGCATCTATCTTAATTTTATGTTTTAGTCCTAATTTATGTTTATGTGTATTTCAGGGCAATAAAGTTAAAATGAGATAAGAACGGTTCATTAAAGCCTTTTTGGAGTCAAGCAAAGATATTTAGAAAAATTTCAGAAAATGACAAAAAGAGGTCGTAGTCCATTGCTTGTATAGTGTGTTTATTCTTCAAAAGCGGTCAATCTCGGACCTTTGATGATGTTCCCAGAGATGAAGAAGCAAACCAATTAGTCCGGGGCCAAAATGGAGCTAAATAAGACTTAAAGGAAATTTCCAACTCTAGGGGGATCGATCCCCCAAGGTAGGGTATCGATTCCCCAGGACTTGGCAACATTACAGATTTTTTTTTATTGTTTGGGCTTATTTTGTGAACTATTAGGCTTTAATAGAGTTGTTACTTAAGGCCCAGTGAGCCATTAGATTGGGGTTAGTATTTATTTTATTTAGGTGAATATTATTAGAATGATTTTTTTTTTTTTATTTTAGTTTTCCGTATCGTAAAATAGAAGGTTCTCTCTGGAAAAAGGAGAAAGTTAGGGTTTCAAGAAATTTGACAGAGGTTTTGTCTACAATTGAAGGAAGAAGAAGAAGGAGCCAAAAGATAAAGATGGATCTTATTGATACCATGATCATCTCCTCCATGAGCTAGTTCTTCACTTAGGGCTTGGATGAGCCCTAAGTTCATGTAACCTAAATTTTTGTATTTCTTTTCTTCGGGAATTAATATGTTGTAATTAATTGTATGGCCTTGTGATTTCTTTATATATACATGCTTGATTTGACAAATTAAGGATTGTATTGATGAATTCTTTCATTGTAATCTCCAGTTGATTATATGTCTATGTATGATTAATTAGGGATTTTATTCTTTATTAGATGATTTAAACTTAATTCTTCCATTAATTCTATATGTAAATTTAATGTCTATGTGTGATTACTTTAGAATTATATTCTACACTAGATACTCCTTGTAGCTGTGTTTAGTGATGGCCGTAGCATGATACTTATTTGATACAATTGTCAATTAATTTGATGGATAAAGACTTAATCTTGATGGGTTGTTCTACAAATTAGCTTACTTGTCATTAGTTAATTGTAGGAAAGTAGACAATTTGTGCTTGATTATGTTAATCCATACTTCTAATTACAATTAGTATTACCATTTTGATTGATGTGTGCTCTTATCGGATACATTTGTGAATGTGTATGGTGGGTTATGACGTAGTCTTGAATGGGTTCTACACTTTAGTTTAGTTGTCATTAGGTAGACAATTCGTTCTTGATGTTGATAATTTATGCTTACAATTGTGATTTGTGATGATAATGTAACCACATCTATGATTACACTAATGATTTCCCCATGAACTGAAAGCAAATAGTTAATTGCATGGGCTTAGTGGTGAATCATAACCCTAAGACTCTCTTCATATCTCTTTAATTCTTAGTTTAATTTAATTTAATTTACTTGCATTGTCATTTCTATTTCCATGCTTTCGATTTAACTCTAGTTTAATCACTTCACCAAAAATCTTTTTCTCTCTCTATCTCTATCTCTCTGTCTCTTGTGCAATCTCATAAGCACTAAAATCAAGTTTAATCACAACACGTGTTCAATCTCTTGGGTTCGATCCCTTCTCGCTTCATACTACATAGTATAAGTGTCTAGCGGTTTATAAATTATAAAATATGATGCCCACTTGACATTAATTCTAAACCTAAAGTGTTGTGCATTATTTTGTGCACACGCTCGGGTTACATCAAATATGATGCCCACTTAACATTATTTCAAACCCTTAAGTGTTGTACATTATTTTATGCACGCGCTCGGTCGCATCACTTATTCATTATTTGAATTCACGGGGCTACAAGAGGTGTGATACCCCCAGATTTCCGGATGCGGGTTGGACAGGCCCACGCCCGATTACCTGAGGATATCAAACCAATTAGCAATAAATGACCACAGAATACAGTTAAGATAAACAAGAATAAATAAAACTGCTGAAACGAAACTAGAATAATAATCCAAAACTGAAAACCTCATAATAAAATTTTATAAATAAAGAATTAATCTGATACATCCAACTTCTTCAACTCTAATACATCTCGGGAATCCATCTCTAATGGACCCCTAATAATAATCCAAACTAAAATGAAAGCTACTTAAAAAACATCCAGAGTAAACCATGAAGAAAAGTCCTACGTCGTCGGAAGAGTGAGTAGTAGTCTCTGCTCAGCACGATCAAGTCTAAGTCTGGAATTGATGAGTACCTGAAAAATAGAGGTAGGTTAGGCCCACGAATAAGTTATAATCTACTACAATCCAAGCAGAGACTCGATACGCATATACATTCTAACCAACTCAACAACAGCTATTAGTTCGTATGTATATATATTCACACCACAGGACTCTTACTGGACTATAAAGAGGGTCTCAACGTGAATAAAAGGCAATATGAGAAAACGTACTCATAGGTGGGCATGAGTACCTAGACCTAACAGGGTACACCTCAACCTCTCATATCCAGTTACGCATCCTACTGCATATATGCTCCCTAACCGACAACTCTGAGACTCAAGCTCATATCGCGGTACCATAAAAATATATTTAAAGTCCGATCCTAACTATCCATAACAAATCCAGTTGGTCATTCAACTTGTGCAGCTTATTTGACATTACATATATAACAAGCAATCCAGTGAGTCATTCAGCTTGTGCAGTTTCTTTGACTTAAGCATAAGTAAGATTTGTTTTAAAATCCATTCCCTTATTCCGTGTAGGTAAGATGTAATATTTTGAAACTAATCCAAACCTAGACATGTCACCGTCCTATACCGGTGCATGTAATCCATCATCCAGCAGTTGATAAAACAAATAATAACTGTAGTTATCAACTATTTCATATATCTAACAATTTATAGTAGAACATTAGATACAAACATCAATGGTTCCAAATTAAGCATGGTAAAATTGCATTATTTAACAAGCTTATACATACTACTTTCCCAAGATACAATAATTGATAATACCGATATATAAGTAAATACCAACTATTCCATAAGTCCACAATTGATACTATTATGTTAAATATAAGCATCAATTGTACCATGTTAGCATGATAAAATAATTGACCATGCAGGACATACATGTAAACCAA